CGGTGCCTGTTTTTAAGTCCAGTGCTATTTGTTTAATAATTATATAAAAATTTAAAAGTTATTATAAAATACTCATAATTTATAACATTATTAATAATATATCAAAAATTAATTTAAAAATCGTATAAATATTTTTGGCAAATATACTGTTTATAATGTGTAGATAAAAATTATGTGATTAACCAGTAAATATAAATATTTATAGTTATAATCTGTTTTTAAAACTCAAATATTATATAATATATGAAGTTTTTGTTTATAAATAACTAATTATTAAATTTTATTTTCAATTGTGTGTTGCATTCAATGGGATTAATGTCTAAATTAATTGCTAACTGTTTACTGTCTGCTAAAATTGTTTGACAGGTATTCATAAAACAAAACTTATAACACGTTAGGTATTAAACCTAATTATCATGTTATTTCACATAAGCATTTATATATTTTAAATATAATACTAAATAATAAAGTACTACATGACATTAACTGACAGCTCCTGGAGTTTGATTAGCAACAGTACCACTACCTATAGTTACTATTAATAATTAGACTAAACAGTACACTATACCAGTGAGCTTGAGGGGGAACTGGATACTAGTGTAGTGCTAAATACCCCATAATATAAACTAACTCAAATGGTTTATCACCAGCACAAACACTGATAACTCCTAATAAACAGCAAAATAAATATATCAATAGTCATATCATACACCAAACCGAGACAACCCGGGTATCCCTGGTGATATTCCACTGGTAGACACTTTTGATGACATCCACCAAATGTTTTTTATCCTCCAGAAGCCGTGGCAGCCATTCCCCGAACAGGTGGTCCACCGCCGAGCCTGGCATTTGCGGGTCAGTCGCCACAGCACCGGCACTTTGATGCTGGGATAGTGTCTCTAATTTCATGTCTAAATATATTACACGAGAAAATAATAATTAAAATATTAGTTTAGTATAGCATTTGAAAAATTATTATATGTTTTAACACTAATTTATAAATTATTAATTACTATGGTGTGTTTAATTGGACAGGCACTATTGCTAAATACGTATGCAAAATGGCAATTAATTACTAGTTAATTATATTTCAACTCGCTAATTAATATTACTACATATATACAAATAGTTTATAATTTTGCTTAAAAGTAGTATCAAAATAAATTTGCTTTACTTTTTATTTACGATAACCTAATTATGGCACACATTTTGATTAGACAGTGTCATTTTCACACAAATAAATCCATACATAAATCCAAATGAATATTATCCGAGACACAAAACTTATGTTAAAATTTATAACTTTTTAAAAAAAACTATTGATTCACTTGTGTTGACCCAAAACATGGGCTAAAAACGTATATTAAAAAGTGATTATCAAAAAAGTGTGTATAAAATAAATCCAAAGTCTTTGCAACAAATATACTTTCATATAATTACTGACAAAATCAATACTAAAAACAAAACACAGAGATTTCGTAAGACTTTTTCATAACAAACACAACAAAAAACTTTCAATTATTTCGAAATCACATATAATTACATCAAACAAAAACTTTTTTCAAACATTAAGTCTATGTCTAAAATGGGAACACATTTCACTTATTATTAAAAAACATTACATTACACATAAAATAATATATATACATGCATAGTAATAAATATATATTAGATAATCATTACAATTAATAAGTTATAAATAAAACTTCATTGTAATAGTATTGGAGAAAATATTCACTGAAATGTCATTTTATAGATATTAATAGCCAAATAAAAATCATTAAACATTACTTTCAACGCGATTATCGCACACTTTATAGCAATAAAAACTTTTTATATTATAGTTATTGTCAATGAATTGGTATTGAAAAATAAATCACACAAATAGTTATATAATAATAATAATCATATGTTTCACCGAAAAACTACTAATAAATATAATGAAAATACTTGTGACGAGAAAATTGTTACACAAAAAAAGCAAATTTTGTTAACGTTTTTCAACACATTCCCAATAAAAACAGTTTTATTTTAAGACATTTTACTTCAAAAAACTTTTTCTCTATAAACCAAACACTCGTCGGAAAAAAATGTTACGAAAAGAGAGTTTAAGTGAAAATATTTTTCAATACAAAATGAAAACACAAAAAAATAGTTATAATAAAACAAATTTCTCGTTAAACAAGTTTCTTATGTCTTAAGACATATAATGTGTATCAATGCAAACGAGTGGTGATAATCCTATGGCTAACTGTCCCGTAAAACTACATGAGCGCTGAACATATCAATGACCTCTTTATGAGATACCTGACGGTGCAAAAGGGATAGGGATTTGCGATGAGAGGCAATGGATATACGAAACTTTTTCTATGATTTCCCCATTATTTCTAAAAATATTTTTTGTTGTTTAATACAATGCTCTCTCTCTCTCTCTCTCTCTCTCNCTATTCGGTAAACTCAACCCACAGCGGGTTAGTACACATGCCTGTCCACTTATGCTACCAATCCTCCCTTACAATTAATGGTAATGTGTTTATCAAATTGTAGGCATTCATGACGGGAAAGGTGTCGGTGAAGGGCAACATACTGTTACTCCAGAAGTTGGACACCTTCTGGAACCAAGTCCAGGGCCAGCGAAAGGACCCGGAGATGCCTAATGTCAAGGACATTATGCTCAGCCATGTATGTCCCACTCGCCCTTACTCATTAGTTAATATACAAATAGCCTAGCTTATAAAATTAATTACTTTATAACTTTAGCTAATTAACTTACTTCGTATACGAAATTATAAGCTTGGCTATTTTGAATTAAAACTTGTTTTATAATTTGTTGTTTCTAAAATGTGCTTGATAATTTTTTATAGCCAATGAAACCCGGCTTAAAAAGCGAGGTCACAGTCTTCGAGTTGCTCCAGAAGTTGGTCCGTTTGCCAAACCTGTTGTCCGAGGGGTCGGCCGTCGATTTGGCCATCAATAAAGAGGGACAGTTAGCCTCCAAATGGAGTACGTATTCTCGTATATTGTAGGCAATTATGGACTTATTTACTGATATATTGGTGTTGTTTAGGACTGAACTTCCCGGCCGGACAGAGCATCGGTAGGCTAGAGAGGGCTGACAGTACCGGCCCTATAGATAACGTGCTGACCATCGATGACAACGATTTCGTGCGCTTAACCTATAATACACTGAAACTCGAAGACGTAATGATAACTGAGTTTTAGATTTACTTTTTGTGTTTTTATTAATACTTGATAGACTACCTGTCCCCTAATCCCATGTCCATCCAGATTATTAGGCTTTTTTAGTCATTCAGATTATTATTATACTACCGTAGTAAAGTGGCTAGCACAAATGTTTTGTACATAGTTTAAAGTCAATTATTTAATTTCATTAGTGAAAGTATGTTTATTTATGAAGTTTTTTTTATAGTTTTCAAATTATTTTAATAGTAATACAAATTACTATTAACTTAAATGTATACTCATGTACAGTATAGCTAGAAATGTTTTTATTAGTGAAGTATAGATACATACTTTGCAAATAAGTAATGGATTTTCCACTACTTTCTATCATTAAGTGAATTATTATTTTTTAAAACTACTAAATGTATTAAACGTTAACTTTTCCTTGTTCAAAAATTGCATTATTTTTGTATGCAGTATTGTTTTATAATTTTGTTTTAAAATACCAATTAAGTAATAATTTTTTTGTTTATCTATTATAGGCAATAGCATCGGGTCGGGTGACCTACCGGGGCGACCAGTCAACGGTGCCTAAACTGAGCAAGATGTTTGCCACGAGTAGGATTTTAGCCAAATTGTAAACTCCATAGCGTTATACCAAATATTAATATAGATTTGTATGCCCTAATTATAATTATGTTATAATTATAATAATAAGTCATAGGAATTGATAAGTTTTATAAGTTTTATATTTTAATTATACTGTAATTCACTCAACAGTTTTTTATATACACACAAATGCTCTGAGAAAAATAGTCTTGCTAAATAATTATTGTTTTAAACTGTGTTTTGTTAACAAAATTGTCGTTTTTATGAAACAAATTATTGTAATTATTTAGCTATCATTGGAAAGACATTATAGTTTTTGTTTTATGTGTAATATTTATTAGAAATTTTTTAATTATTAATAATTATTGAATAAATGAAATAATTTTTAAACCAAATTTTTAAACACCAGAATATTCTGTATATAAATACCCATATATTTTGTCCGGAATTTAAAGTTTGCTTTTGAGTTGACTTTTAAGGCATATCTCGCAATACTGTTGACCATTACCAGGGAAATGGTGGTCGCACACTATGGGAGCGCCGATAGGCTCCCCGCTGACCATCATATCGGGCACCAGTAGCCGATCGCTGTCATCATCAGCACTCATAGCCTGTAATCCATGCCTTTTCACCACAAATGTCACGGAATCGCCGGCTTTTAAATGAATACTTCTATTCCTATCAATAGTATTGTCAATAGTTTTTCAGTTTTAAAGTTTAGACTAAATATTAAATTTTCGGTACTTTTTGACTGGTTTTTTGCCCCGAAATACCAGCCCTTTGACGGCGCGTACGGCTCTGTCGGACACCGTCTTCTTGATGTTAGTCTTCACTAAATCTAAACTAAATTTCACACAATTTTGAAGCAATCGGTCGACACTTATGTCACTTATATTGAAATACATGGCAAATAATTGTGTGAAATGTTAGCTAAATGAGCTTGATATAACTATATTTTCATAACACACTCACTAATAGACACTAAATGTTAGGTACTTATGGTATAAGCAGTTATTATTTTAATATTACTTAATATTATGGCTTAAAAAGTGGTGGATTTTACACAAAACATATGCAATACTTTTGTAACTATTATTTGTTAAGCAAATAACATTAGCCAACACTAGCGCACTACCGGTGCTCATCATAAAAACCTATCCCGAGGCGTGTCAGTAAATGATATGTCTGTCCACTCGAGTGATACCCGATTATTGATGTAAAAAGTGCAGAATTGGTGACAAATACCGGTGCGATCACTGCCAATAACTATACCCAGGGTATGGCGGGTTGAATGAACACCAGTTGATACAACATCCCGACTCTGTGCCGGACGTGCCGTGTATTCAGTGCACACACACTGACTGCCAGTTTAGGACCAAATCTAACGGGGCTTTGAAGGCACACGTGAGACAACACNTATAATATTTGAGTTTTAAAAACAGATTATAACTATAAATATTTATATTTACTGGTTAATCACATAATTTTTATCTACACATTATAAACAGTATATTTGCCAAAAATATTTATACGATTTTTAAATTAATTTTTGATATATTATTAATAATGTTATAAATTATGAGTATTTTATAATAACTTTTAAATTTTTATATAATTATTAAACAAATAGCACTGGACTTAAAAACAGGCACCGGTGGCGTATATAGGGGGCCGGCACGTGTCAAACCAGACTGCGTGATTACAATGGATGAGAAAGTGTCCCTGGGCATGTTTGAGGGCACCCTCGACCCGGCTAAGGTATGCTAACCACCCCTTTCATATATTAAAAACATTAATTTTCTATTAATAAAAATTATTATAGCTTTGTAATTTATAATACTTTTATAATAAATTTACCAATTATTAAGCCATGTAAATATAGTGTTTAAAATTTTTAAAAATTATTTTTAAGTTACTAGTTATAAATTACAGTACATCTTGATAGTTTATACAAATTAATAGTTTGCAGTAATGTAACATTATTTATGTATGTAATTTTAATTAATTATGACAAACTTAGCTATTTAATTAGCATTTAACATTACAAATTGCATCAAATTGAAAATTAATTACAATTTTTGCTAATTATATTAAAATACTAGGCATTCATGGGTCAGAAATTGAAAATCCAGGGCAACCTAATGGCCGCCCATAAGTTCCAGCAATTCTGGGCTGAGGAGGCCCTACACGGCTCGCTCCGACACCTCAACGAAAAACTAGCCCTTCAGTCAGCGGCTAATACGGGAAATGCCTGTCCGGTCGGTGGCGGTGCTAGTGTTGGACATGGAGGTAGTGATGGTGGCGGCCGTGGTGCTAGTGATGAGGCACTGTTAGCCAGTATACCAGTGGACGGCCTTAAGTCGGATGTAGTGTTCAACACGATTAGGACCCGACTGTCCGAAGAGCCAGATTTGGTGAAAGCCATGCGATTTGTTATACAGTTTAATATCACGAGGAATGGGAAGGTAGTCGCCGTCTGGAGTAAGTATATTAAGCTCTCTCTCTCTCTCTCTCTAACAAAAACATTTTTATCTGATGTATAGCTACCGACACCAAAGTGGACGGGGGAGAGGTGTATAGGAGTGCCCCCAAAGTGAAACCCGACGCCATAGTCAATGTGGACGACGAGAACTACGTGAAGATCCTATTCGGTAAACTCAACCCACAGCGGGTTAGTACACATGCCTGTCCACTTATGCTACCAATCCTCCCTTACAATTAATGGTAATGTGTTTATCAAATTGTAGGCATTCATGACGGGAAAGGTGTCGGTGAAGGGCAACATACTGTTACTCCAGAAGTTGGACACCTTCTGGAACCAAGTCCAGGGCCAGCGAAAGGACCCGGAGATGCCTAATGTCAAGGACATTATGCTCAGCCATGTATGTCCCACTCGCCCTTACTCATTAGTTAA